AAAAAACAAACAAACAAAAAAAAAAACAAACCCACACCACACAAGCACACCGTGCCCCCCCTCCAGCCTGCAGCAAGGTTAAGGGGCGGCGAAGTGCTCGGGCATTGCCGGGGCTGGGGGTGGAGAAGGCGCAGGGGCACCCCCCGGCCATCGAGGGATGGAAAACCGGCGTTTCCCCGAGGATTCCCAACGCCACCTGCTGTTCCTTTCTCCCCGAACCTGACGGGGACTGTCCCTTGCCTTTCCAGCACCCAAGGTCTGCGATGCCTGCAAAAACAAAAATGAAGACGATAACGACATTGTGGAAAACCTCTGCAAAAATGACTTTGGTAAGTGGAGGCAGAGCCCACTCAGTTGAAACTTGGGAGTTGAGGATCGGGTAAAACTCCCTGTGGAGTCAGTGGGAGATGTGTCTGAATAAAGGCAGGGCTTTGTCTTATCTGCAGATGGACCCGTCTGCCCCGTTGGGTCATGAAACACAAAATTCTACCTCTGAATAAAAAGTAGCCGTTTTTATAGTCCTTTTCTGTTTGCTGTTTCGAAGTAGTGCTCTTTTATGTGGATGTTGCTGGTAAGCCAAATAGAAAGTAAAATGAAGAAAAAAAAAGTTAAAAAGAATCTTTCATCCAGACTATTGCCTGGGGAGAAGCAGAGCAAAGCTTAATTTAGGCGAATGTGAATGAGCTGCATGACCAATCTGACGTATCGTAAGAAAGACTCTCTCCGCAGATTAAGAATGAAGCTCTATATATCATTTGACAGAGAAGGTAATGCACAGACAATTGGGGATATAAATTTAATGGGAAGATCTGGGGTTAGAAGAGGACAAGCAAGCCCCTTGGACACAGACAACTGAACGGCACATTATCCACACATTAGCATTTCAAGAGAAAAAGGGAATGAGGAGGGGAATCCTTTTATAATAGGTCAATGTTTATACCTGGAAACAGATTTGTAGATTTGTAGTATAAATATCTACAACAACTCAGAAGTCTTTCTTAAACAAAACAAAACAAAACAAAAAAAAACCAAACCAAAACCACACAACCAAAACCTGAAACCATGACTGTGGGACATAATTGCTAAAACAACCAATAGCTTTGGTCTGGCAAATTGCACTCGGATAAATCCTCCTAAAGCTAAACATGCCCCACAGATTCTTACAGAGCCCTGCATCCCCCTCCTAGTTATTTTACCAAATCGAATGCAGCTGTTGGACCAATTTGCCCTCCATGGGATCTATTCTTTCAAAAAAACAATGCATGTGAAATATCATTTCTTTACAGGTTTGCCTAAAATCCTCTCCAGCCTAATAAATTAAGTTTAGAAGTTTTCAGCCACAGAGAGATCAGGTTTCAGATTAGGTCTAGGTCCTCACCTCCCCACCTCCCCTTCAAACTCTAGTTTCAGGAAGACCATCCTTTCCCAGCAAAAAAAAAAAAAAAAAAAAAAAGTGGAATTCTGTTTAACATAGCAAACCTACCCTCTCTCTGTTTGCAAACATGAGAAAAGCTGGAGAAAATATTCATTTAGAAAGGAAAGAAAAAGAAGGGGAAGGGGAGGAGGAGAAAAGAAACCCAAAAAACCCTCAACCCTAGGGTTGATTCAAGCTGAAATGACTTGCATGCCCTTTGTGGCTTTAGAAATGGAGCCACCTGCTGCCTCTTCTGTCAGCCCTGACAGTTTAATTAGCAATAGAGCACCTCCCTCCCCAGGTCCTCTTTGTGTGCACTAATGGGAAAAAACCTCTCAATCTCTCTCCCTCTCACTGCTTCCCCCTCCCCTCACTCTATTAGCCTTGAAGATAAAAGTGAAGGAGATTGCCTACATCAATGGGGATACCAAGATCACCCCAGAAACAAAGAGCAAAACCATCTACAAGCTGAATGGGCTGACGGAAAGGGACCTGAGGAAGATCGTGCTCTGGCTCAAAGGTGGCCTCCAGTGTACCTGTGACGAAATGAACGACATCAACGTCCCCTACTTGGTGATGGGGCAAAAGCAAGCTGGGGAACTGGTGATCACCTCGCTGAAGCGGTGGCAGAAGGGGCAGCGGGCTTTCAAGAGGTTCTCCCGCAGCATCCGCAAACTGCAGTGTTAGTGGCTTTGGCTCTGGCCACCTCCAGCAGCCACCTCTGTCCCAAGCTCTCTGGGCTTCCCGCACCTTCTTGCTTCAGCCCCTCTAAGCCTTGCGATGCCATGGGCATGAGACATGGTGACCGCTCTCCAAGAGGGGAGGGAGCCCTCCATTTTTGTACATAGGTTAAAATGTAATAAAAAAAATCATGACTATTTTTGGGAAGTATTAAAGTATCTCGCTTAACGCTATTTTTTTTTTTTTATGGTTGCAAATGTGACTTTGGTCTGAGGTTGTTCCCTCTTCATTTTGGTAATGCTGGTTCATTTATATTGTTGCTTCTCTGTATACATGCATGTTTGTTGTGCAAAAGTAGGAGATGCGGAGAAAGACAGCCACGTGTACAACTGGCCTGTCACACTGGGTATGACTCTTTCACCGAGGTGAAATGGCTTGCCATCTATATTAACACTATAAAGGTCATGTTACAACTCTTGCATGTGATACACAGGCACCAGGAAGAGTATATTAACCATTCTCACATTTTACTTTCCACAAGTCTGAGCCCTTCTCTTTCAAAAAAAAATGAGCAAGTTTTGGAGCTGGTTGATCTGAATGCAACTTTTTATTATTATTTTGAAATTAAACCATCTGTAGCCTAACTGTAATATACCTAGTGGTTAACCTTGAAGAGTTGTAAAATATTGCTTTAATTAACCTTGTAAATACTCCAGATAAATGTTATATTCTTGTATATAAACTTTACATCATAGTTTACCCATCGTCTCGGTCTGTATTCACTTCAGTCTGTTTTGAGAGAACTGGGAGAAAGCTGTCCAACTGGGCTTTGTCACAGCAAAGCAGAATTTGGCCTTCCACCCTAGGTGGCCAGTAGAGAAGCCCAAGGAAGCATCTAGTGCTGCAATCAGAAAAAACACAGTGGACCTCATTTCCCCAAAGATGAACCCATGAGACATGGGACTGAGGTTCAGTCAACTTGTTTTAATATGGGTCTATTGAGCTCTTCAAGATGAAGTTTTCTGTGGCTCCTTGGTTCAACCACCTGCATTTTCATCTCATCTTCTCGGAAGACTGCTTTTTGCTGATGTAGAATTGCAATGAGACCGTTTGCTTAAAAAAACAAATCAATTTTTCCATTTCTTACACTCAAAAAAGACATATTAAGGAGTGCAAGAGTAGACAGAAAAATCTCATTTGCAACTAGTGATTCAGAATAATGGTAGAGCAAGGCATGTTCTATTTCTATGTACACTCCCTATTCTTACTGAGAAAGAAAATAAAACTTACCTAATAGTGTAACTAGTGGAATGTTTTTCAGCATTTTTCTTGCAAATGTTTTCTGATTAAGAGCACTACCTGCTATGATTTTATTTTACTTATCCTGAAAAACAGTCTTGCTTCCCAGTGCTGTCACATATAAAAAAATCCCTCTTATCTTCACTGAGAGGATGAGCAGTCCAGTGTTCCCAAGGACAACATCCTATGGTAATCATTCACAGGCAGAATCCAAATCCAACACTAGATTTTTCTTTAAAGTAAAAAATCATGTTAATTTCATATATTTAGAATTATTTTTTTTACCATCAGGATAAAAAGATAAAATCTAAAGATCCAGGATGTTACATTTGTTTTAGAAAAATGAGTTGTTTGCCCTCTCCCAAAGCCTTCATGCACTCACTACACCTGTTACAGACAATGGGAGGACTCTGACCAAGCAAGACAAGAGCAGTCCTCACAGATGTCCTCAAAATTATAACAATTAAAAAAAAAAAAAAAAACCTAAACCACCAACCAAAAGCCCCATTCCAAACTGGCTTTTAATTATTTTGTGAAACAGTGTCTTTATTTAAAGGCCAATACCTTCCTGAAATATCATTAAAACTTTTCTTCTGAATGGATCTGGCATCCCAGGAAACAGATTTGAGTCTTTTCATGCTATAGCGTAGTTATTAATTTTAATTAATTTATTTAATTCCAGTACTCTGTCCATCAGCATCCAGATGTCACGTCACTCTGCCCATCTCACTCGACATGTACTGTAATACCTGTCCCTGAACAGCCTTGGAACAAGCCCACAGATAAAGAGGAGCTGGCTGAAGATGAGCCTGCAGAAAATGGGCTTTTGCTGCCTGGTGGTGGAAAGCACTTTGAAGAGGCGGTTGTTGCAATGCAGTCTCTGGGAACTGAAAACAAACATCCAGGACTGCCCCACTTGCGACCTGCCTTGCAGATACTAAGTCCTCCTGCAGCAACCATAAAATTATCTCAACTGGGCTGTCCTAGAAGGCAGCAGCACTGACACTGGCGAGGACAAACAGGTCACAAGTTACTCACTCTGGGGTCATGTTAAGGCCAAGGCTACATACCAGATTGTTTGCCAAATCACTTAGATGTATGAAGACACATCACCTATGACCAAGATTGCTCTGTCTTAAAATAACCCAAACCTTCCCCTTCCTCCATCATGAAATAAACAGTTACACCAGCAAAATCCTGCTCCTGCCAGAACAGATTCAGGAGAAGAAGGATAAACTAGACCGGCAAACATTCAATTTTGCCAGTATAATCAGCATCCCAGATTAAGAGCATCCTGCCATCCAGCATTCCCCACCAATAAAGCCTTCTGCATGTGGCCCTGGACAGAATCACTGAGCCTACCCACCCTCAGAGTGAACTGGCAGAGGCAGAATTACCTTTCAGATAAGCAGGATTTAGGCAAATGTGAAGAGTAATAGGACTCACGTTCTCCCAGTTTAGTTCCATCACCTTCTCCTAACAGCATCCTGTTAAAAGATGGGTGATATTCACCCCACCAAGGAGGAGGAGTGTCAGTGTTTGTTATACTACCTCTTTCCAAAGGTGTATAAAACCTTTCAAACTATTCAATGGAAAATTTAGGATTTTAAAGTCACAGTCTGAGGAAGCTTCATCTCCAAGATGCTGGCAAAGAAGTAAACACATAAATTTTTCACATTTACTCTTACTCCCTTGACAATAACTGAAAATCTTTGACTGTGCCAGGCAAATAGTGAACCAAATATGTAACAAAAATTTATCTCAGCCTGTTACTTCTGATCAGTGTGTCGCATATACTTCAGAGTAACTTCATTACTCTGGTATGGTTCAGATCTAGAAGATTTTTTTTTTTTTGGCAATTGATGAAAAAAGGCAACCCATTGTTGCATTTTTCAGACACTTTTTGTCTTCTTCTAATTAAACCAACATTGTTAGACAGACAATTATGTAGCTCCCATTGTATTTGCTTTCATAAAAACTATAAAAGCAGTTGACTACAATGGATTAGTTTAAGAACAATAATAATGACACTTGACATTTATACAGAAGTTTCCATTTAAGTTTCTCAGACTGCCTTCACTAAAATAGAAATTAATATCCCTATTTTGCAGATCAGGAAAATGAGGCACAGTGAAGTGAAATAACTCATTCAAAACCACCCAGCAAGTCCTTTACAGTCATGAAAAGCAGCATATTTTTTGTTTCCAAGTTTTATGCTCTAATCACTAGACCACAGCAATCAGAATGGCATATAATCAAGGCAGCACTTACATTATAATTTGTAAGCATAATAGCAACCAAGGCTCCTTACAACTTCTTCTTCTCCCTCAGTGTGTAAAAAGAAATGACTGCCCAAATTCAAATTTAAAATTCATCAGCAGTATTACTCACAGTCTTTTCCTTTCTTCCTCATTGATCATTCTCTCTATCCTTTAATTACTTCTTAATCCTTTCCTTTCTCCCTCACTTCTCGTTCACTTCAGACACCCACAGAGAAGCTACTCAGCCCCCCTCTCACCCAGACACTTTCGCCCTCAGTATGGTTTATTTAAAAACTCATGCAGTATAACTACACACAAGCCACAAAAATCCTAACGACCAGCTTAAGACATTAAAAGACTCATGCGGGAAATTCAGCAAGAGGCATTTAAATTTAATTAATGATTTTCTGCGAAGACCGGAGGGTGGCTGGATGCCACAAGGAGCACCACAGACACGTGCTGGTCACCTCAGGCATGGTCACTATTCCTATTCTGCAGCAGGAGAACGTGAGGATATCTAAAGAATACAGCGGGCATGAAGAGCACACAGATAAAGCACACCTTCCCTTGCACGGCCAGGTCTCCCGCACATCCCAGCCCCATCGTTATAACCCTGTGCTCCTCCACTGGAGCCACGCTGCACCTCTCTCAACCTTCTTTCAGATCATCATGCCATCGATCAGCCATCGAGGGCATCAGCCAAGAGCAGAGCCATCATGACTCAAGAACAGAGCGCCCCATGGTCCCCTCCCCAGGTGCCTGCTGGGGCACAAGCCACCCCCATGCAGCTGGCAGGGCAGCCCCTTTTTTGCTGTTTCTGCAGACTGCTGCCTTCCTCACCAAACCTACTGTTCCTGTGAGCCTTCATGATGTGCCCACAGCTGGCAATGCCAAAGGGCGATGGATTGATTGCTACCAGAGCAGTAGACAGCCTTCCTTGGGTCGGGCAGCCCAGGCTTTTGTTATTGGAGCCAGAAGTTGTTATTTCTAGGCTTCAGAGACATGCCTGTATGATTTATCTGTAAGTTGCTTTCTTATCAGCAGATGTAGGTTCAGTACAGCCTGACTGTCTGATGAATCAACCACAGGAATGGATCTTGTTTGCCTCTGTATGAAGAAGAGAGTGCAAGACACTCACATCACAGGAATCCAAGACCCCAAGCTGTCTTACAAACATAAATTAGCCCATGCTATATCCCTTTGGGGTGAGTTTAATAGGGTAACATTTTCCAAATGCATCAGCCCCTTTCAGGGTGAGCTGTGGGCTCCTAAATCACCTAGATACCTTGGAAAATATTAGCCACTATCCTCCACTGGAGTTAAAGCCAGTTGGCCGAGGTCAGCCAGCAAGGCTGTCACCCAGCCAGGAGGAACACCTCAGCCATCAGCCAGCCAGCCCATCGCTCTCACAACTGATCAAAATAGCCCAGCGATGGAGTAAGCTGCACCCAGAAGCAGCTGATGGAGCAAACTTCAAAACCAAGCACTGCACACACAGAGAAGCTGTCCTGCCAGAAAGACCAGCACAAGTTAGAGGGTATGCTCAGTGTCTTACAGAACAGACCCAGGAAAGAGCATATATATCTTCTAAGACTCACAATAAAGCAATACTATTAACGTAGCTCTTTCAAGATCCAAATGCTGCAGATCATCCTCTTGGAGTAATTTTCAATCCACCAAAGTGATGCTAAAAACACAGAGAATTTTCTGTTTGGACACAACAGGTTGCCATTAGAGGCATAGCCAAAACTAACAGCAACTGGCAGATTTAGGAGTGATCTGAAAGGGTAGCAGAAATGCTAATTTAAGCACACTTTCAACTTGCCAGATCTTTGTTTCCAGAGCTTAACCCTGGCAGTCTTCATTAGACATTGAACTTTATATCCGGAGTCACTATGGTAGGACAATTTAAGATACCTGCTTTTATCAGGCAAGAGATAACTAATCTTTCCCTGGCAATTTCCCTGCATTGTGAGTTTGCTTCAAATCCCTAACACTGCCTAATTGCCTTTTTTGTTATGTGGATCTCCAGCCATGCACAATAGTGAACTCTGGCTGCTTACACCCTGAGACAGGTGCTTTAGTGGCTGCAGGGCTCACATCGTTAGGCGCACACAGAGCTATTAATCATTGCAGTTTACTCTGAGGCACAAACCTGAATTAAGTCAGGGCACTTGCCTAAGCAAAACAACAGCTTAA